ATATATATATATATAGAGAGAGAGAGAGAGAGAGAGAGAGAGAGATGGTATATGTGTGTCTGCACGTCTGTGTGTATATGTGTATGAGAGTATGAGACAGGGTCTTGCTATATAACCTTGACTGGTCTGGAATTTGCTGTACAGACCAGGCTGGCCTCAAATTCAGAGATCCACCTGCCTCGGCCTCCTGAGTGCTGGGATTAAGTGTGTGTGCCACCATGCCTGGCCTAGAATGGATAACTTTTATTCTGGAAAAATGAAATGGATCTCTCCTCCAGAAGGTAGTTAAAAGAAAATCGCTGCAACACATAAAATGTAAACATGGCCAAAATGTCCTCTTATGAAACTTATTACCTTAAGTAGGAACAGATTTCTCAATGGAGGTGAGAAGAAAGGTCAATACTAATCTAGATAGAGATAAAACAAAAGGATAGATTTGTTCTTTTTTTTAAGATTTTATTTATTTATTTATTTATTATGTATATAATTATCTGCATGCATGCTTGCACACCAGAAGAGGGCACCAGATCTTATTACAGATAGTTGTGAGCTACCATGTGGTTGCTGGGAATTGAACTCAGGACCTCTGGAAAAGCAGTCAGTGCTCTTAACCTCTGAGCCGTCTCTCCAGCCCCGATAGATTTGTTTTTAAAAAGGAAAAAAATAAAAGAAAGGGAAGAACATAAAGCAAATAGAAGCCCAAAGTGTGAGAGTAGAGTTTCTCCGTCCCTTGTCAATGAAGAGCAATGAGCCGAAGAGCCTCTTCTTCTGATGCACACAGGGCAAGGGATAGAGTAGAACTAAAGGCTGAAAAAGATCCAAGGAGGGTATTACCGCCGTTACAGGAAGCTGCAGATCAAGAGGACATGAACATATATGCCATCTGGCAAAGTAATGCCTGCTGGAATCTGTCATATCTACCGTTCCATCAAGGAAGGATGGTGACCACAGAGAGCAGGATTAGAGTTAGGAATTAACTGTGGAGGGCAGGCCTTAAGTAACTGGTAGCTTTCAAAACAGTCTGCAGGAAGGGTAGTGTCTTGTTGATGTCTTGACAGATGACAGCTTTCAAGTCCCACCTCTTCTGTCTACTCTGCCCCACATCTGGCATGCCTCTGCAAAAAATGGCCAGATCAAAGCAAGCCCAGGCCCACCCCTTTACCACAGTGGCCAGGTGCACATCTCAGAGGTGGTGCACGTTTGCCTAACATGTTTGATCCCCAGTGCTGCCAAAACAACAGAAACAAGACAAGAGCCTGTGGGATGGCTCAGTGGGTAAAGACACTTGGCAGCAAGCCTAATGACCTGAGTTTGATCCCTGGGACCTAAATGGTAGAAGAAGGGAACTGACTGCAGGTTAGCTTTTGACCTTTGCATGCATTCTCACTTCTCCCTCCACTCCACAATAGTTAACTAAATGTGAACAAGTTTTTTTAAAAAAAGAAAACAAGACAAAAACAACTTTCTATAGGCTGAGTCAGCAGCTGTCAGTGATGATAAGGAATCCAGTGACACCCAAAGAATGGAAGTGATGAATAGTTAAGGAAATGAAATTCTGATAACTTGATTTGATCATGACACATACGAGCCAATTTATTGTTCTGTATACAATAAGTATGTGTGGACACTATGTTTCAGTAAGATAGCTGCCAGCATCTGCTGCCTCTAAATCCACATCATCCCCTTCTATCCTGCTTCGGTGCTGCGCCCAGTAGGTCCTGTGCTGGGAGTAGCCTTTCATCATGCATGGTTAGACTTGCTTTCCCACCTGCCAGCTGAAGGATGTCCACGTCCTCCGAAGATCTGTCACAGAAGCTAGACTGTCCTCCCTTTGCCTGTAGGATTGGGCCTGTATTGTTATAGGTTAGTCTGTCTGGGGCAGTCAGGAAGTGGGGAAGAACAGACACAAGCTGGAATTCACAGAGGCATCTAGAGTCTGGGAGGGCAGCCAAGCCACATCAGCATCTCCTTCCAGCCTTGATAATGCTGGTCACCTGCTTTGGTACTACATGTGAGTTAGAGACACATTGGCCCTTGACTCAGGAAAGTACATAAATGCCTGTGATCCCAGCACTAGGGGACTTTGAAGACACAAGGATCCCGGGTGCTCACTGGCCAACTGCTGGTTCGGTAAGAGACCCTGTCTCAAAAGAAGGTGAAGGCCATCCAGGAAGACACATGATGTCAGCCTCTGACTCCCACATGCACATGCATGTACACAGGAACACATACACACCCAGGAAGTGTCGCTGTTCTAAATGACAAGGGACGATCAAAGAAAGAGGATCACTCCAGAATGTAATCAGGCTCTGAGGCAGCATAGGGAGGGTTCAACTTTGATGAACTGAACCTCAAGCAGCCGTGGAGAAGCCTGTTTACATCACACCCCTGCAACTTTAGTCTGTATCGTGTATTCGTAATACTAGACTTTCAGGGTTTGCCAGGACCTTCTTGTGACTAAAGTCATGTGAGGGCTGTAAAGCTCCTTCAGAAAAAGAACTCCATAAGGCCCAGAAAATAGTCACTGATTAGATTCAAAGGATTTCCTCAGGGCTTAGGTGCACCTAAAAACAATCCCAACACTCCAGTGTTCATGCCAGATAGAATGACTTTACTAATTTTCCACTACATTTCCCCCCTTTTATATTTGATTATGTTGCAGATTATATTTATCTTAAAGATTATGCACTCTCACAGTAAATACAGCCTTTTCTCTATTGTGCTGTTTCACAGTATTATGTAGATAAGCCAAAATACATTTCAAAGCCAGTAAAATTATTACAGCAAAAATAAGTGTCTGTGAGCAAAATGGGTGTAATACGGCCTAACCCATATAAACCTTTATAAACAATCTTTAGTGTGGCAAAACAATATCATACTGTCTCTTTTGTCATGTATGTCTTTTATCTCCACTGCCATAAGGCATTTGGATTCTGCATTGATGAGAATTGACGTGTAATACATTCATTAAATACAACAGTATCATTTTTGTGTGAGTGCTTGCTTTCTCAAAGTCTCAGCTTGGTGAGTTTAAGTCCTGATGTCTCCCCAGGTTATAAGCTTACTCTCCCTCCTGGGACATTTTCGTTTGATGGATTTATTGTCTGTCTTTAGATAATTTGTTCATCTGGTCTCTGATGTCCTGGTGGGATGCATCAGATCAGGAGCCATTTAGGAATTTGTTCTTTTCTGAAAAGACACGAGCATCCCCTCACCTTGATGTTAGGACATCGGGCTCTTTTTATTTAGCATTGACTTTAGGTTACATCTCCTTTAGGGCAAATGCTTTGGGGCAGCAGAAAAACCATTGTCCTTTAAAATGAAGATTTTAAAATTTAAAGTTAGCATAGCTAAATAGTATGTGAGGATAAGAAGGTGTAGCCTCTTACTCCCCCCCCTTTAATTTATTTAAAAAATTGTCATTCAAGTATTTGACGGTGACATTTTACAAAAGCTTGACCCTGTGGATACTAAGGGATTTTTGGCAACATGATTGATATGAAACTTTTTCAAATCATTTGCTAGCATAAGCAGAACCATTATTATTTTAATGGGTCCTAAAAAGAAACTGTATAAAGAGCTGTTTGACAAAGTTAAGTCTTAGATATCAGGTGTGATAGAAGGTGTTTTGCTGGAGTTTTCAGGTCCCGGTGCCATGTCTGGGGCTGTGCTCTGTAGCTGACCAGTTAGGGAGAGGCATTGTGCATGCCTGTAGTGCACTGTGAGCACAGATCTTTACATACATGACAGTAGAGAATGTCCAAGACACAGAGAGCTATGCTTCCAGATGTCAAGCTGATGCCCATTCACTATTATCTGTTACAAGTTTGGAATAATGTATAAAATCTGTCTTCAAGCTGTATGAAACAATGCCTTTAATACAGGATAGGCTCTCATGATCATCTTTTAACTATTTCCCTTGCCAGAATCTGATCTTTTATCAGGCCAAGAGCAAAGGTAAAACTAAGAAACAAACAAAATCTATTTAATTAATAATGGTCCTTAACTTTTTATTATTTAAAATTAAGATTTTTAATTTAAGATTTTGTATCTTTTAAATTCAGGACAATTTGAATTATAAGTTTAAGAAAACTTTCCTATTGGGTAACAGGAGATTTAGAA